GCTCTGCCGGAGGACTCTGCTCCTTCCTCTGTAACTCCCCTCTCCTGAAATACTCTGCTTTCCACTATAAGGGGCCCCATTCTCACCAGATCGAGGCGCTAAGCACGCGTTACCCATCACACAGCGCGCGTGGCGTGCGGTCCCGTGCACCAGTAGGTGCGTCGCCATCCGTGCGCCACTGCGCCATACACCGCAATGCGCGCCCATCAGACGAGTGGCAGCGCAATGGACGGAGCGCTCAGCACCGCACCCCGCGCCCGCTGAGGGATGGCGCTCGGAGCGGTGTGAGCGAGCCGCCAGGGGGCAGAGAGCCGCCGCGCTCCCAGGCAGGCTCCAGGGCCCGGCGGGGTTAACAGAGACGCAGCGTTTCCATGTGCATCATACCTGGCGGTGACCCTGGAGCGGCCGGCCGGAGATTAGATGGGATTTTCGCGGGCCGCGGACAGATGGCAGAAGCTAAATATGGACGCGGAATAAAAAAAAATACCATCCAGGACCTCGTCAGAGGCAATTAGTCGCTTTAATGAGCCGGCGGCGCTCCCGGGGCGGCGGAGTCCGAGCGGCAGCAGATGTTATTCTCATGCTGAGTGAGCAGAGAGAGGTAAGGTGACCAGACACAGCAAGCAAAGCAGCTCTCCCGTAAAGAGGACCTGTCACCAATGGACATCAGTATGAATCTGACTTGTCACTGCTTTACATTTCAGTGAAGACTGTGTGTCTGCTGGTATTCACTTGTATTCTCTCCCTGGTAGTGAACATTCGGCTCAGGGGCAGACTGTGTGTGCTGGTATTCACTTGTATTCTCTCCCGGGTAGAGAACATTCGGCTCAGGGGCAGACTGTGTGTGTTCTCTACCAGCGAGAGAATACCAGCACACACAGTCTGTCCCTGAGCCGAATGTTCTCTACCCGGGAGAGAATACAAATGTATACCAGCACACACAGTCTGTCCCTGACCCGAATGTTCCCTACCAGCGAGACAATACCAGCATTCAGCTTAGGGGCAGACTGTGTGCTGTTATTCATTTGTATTCTCTGGCTGGTAGGGAGGAATGAGCTCAGGGGGAGACTGCATGTGCTGTTACTCATTTGTATTCTCTCCCTGGTAGGGAAGATTCGGCTCAGGGGAAGACTGTGTGTGCTGTTATTCATTTGTATTCTCTCCCTGTGTGCTGGTATTAATTTGTATTCACTCCCTGGTAGGGAAGATTTGGCTCAGGGGCAGACTGTGTGTGTGCTGGTATTCATTTGTATTCTCTCCCTGTGTGCTGGTATTCATTTGTTTTCTCTCCCTGGTAGAGAACATTCAGCTCAGGGGCAGACTGTGTGCTGGTATTAATTTGTATTCACTCCCTGGTAGGGAAGATTCGGCTCAGGGGCAGACTGTGTGTGTGCTGTTATTCATTTGTATTCTCTCCCTGTGTGCTGGTATTAATTTGTATTCTCTCCCTGGTAGGGAAGATTCGGCTCAGGGGCAGACTGTGTGTGTGCTGGTATTCATTTGTATTCTCTCCCTGTGTGCTGGTATTCATTTGTTTTCTCTCCCTGGTAGGGAACATTCAGCTCAGGGGCAGACTGTGTGCTGGTATTCATTTGTATTCTCTCCCTGGTAGGGAACATTTGGCTCAGGGGCAGACTGTGTGTGTTCTCTACCAGCGAGAGAATACCAGCACACACAGTCTGCCCCTGAGCTGAATGTTCTCTACCAGCGAGATAATACCAGCATTCAGCTCAGGGGCAGACTGTGTGCTGGTACTCATTTGTATTCTCTCCCTGGTAGGGAAGATTCAGCTCAGGGGGAGACTGCGTGTGCTGTTATTCATTTGTATTCTCTCCCTGGTAGAGAACATTCAGCTCAAGGGCAGCTTGTGTGCTGGTTTTTATTTGTATTCACTCCCTGATAGCGAAGATTCAGCTCAGGGCAAGATTGCGTGTGCTGGTACGCATTATTATTCTCTTCCTGGTAGGGAAGATTCAGCTCAGGAGCAGACTGTGTGCTGGTATTCATTTGTATTCTCTCCCTGGTAGGGAAGATTCAGCTCAGGGACAGACTGTGTGCTGGTATTCATTTGTATTCGCTCCCTGGTAGGGAAGATTCGGCTCAGGGGCAGACTGTGTGTGCTGTTATTCATTTGTATTCGCTCCCTGGTAGTGAAGATTCGGCTCAGGGGCAGACTGCGTGTGCTGTTAGTCATTTCTATTCTCTCCCTGGTAGGGAAGATTTAGCTCAGGGGCAGACTGTGTGCACTGGTATTTATTTTTATTCACTCCCTGTTAGGGAAGATTCAGCTCAGGGGAAGACTGTGTATGCTGGCATTTATTGGTATTCTCTCCCTGGTAGGGAAGACTCAGCTCAGGGGCAGACTGCGTGTGCTGGTATTCATTTGTATTCTCTCCCTGGTAGTGAAGATTCGGCTCAGGAGCAGACTGGGTGTGCTGGTATTCATTTGTATTCTCTCCCTGGTAGGGAAGATTCAGCTCAGGGGCAGACTGCGTGTGCTGGTATTCATTTGTATTCTCTCCCTGGTAGGGAAGATTCAGCTCAGGGGCAGACTGTAAATTACCCAACAAAGACTGCTGGAGGAAAACAAAATACTTCTTGTTAATGTACACAGGTCCCCCCGAGCCCAGCGTTAAAGAGACTCTGAACCTTTACCTGCAATTTTTAGCTTGATGGCAGAGTATCCTGAACGCTCACTCGTAGGTGCTGGGCTTGCTGGAAGAAGGCGGGTGATATGCAAATGAGCTGGTCCCCTACACCCGGCACCTAGAATGACTTTCCAGGATCCAGGTGGAAGACTATCAGGTGGGAGTCTGACCCACAGGTGACAGGACACGGCCAGTATCACCATCTCCCAATTATTAATAGTTACCCCGTCATCGGATACAACCGTCAGTCATTTTGTTGTCACGCCTGCAACGGCCGCACCCCCGTTGTGACGCCACTGCTGACAGGTGCACTTTAACTGAGAAGCCCCCCTAACCCCCCAGATGAGGAGTGAGGATGCTCTGTATTATATAAGCTCGCACTTCCTGTAGAGATACCTGTAACAAAATTATCTCCGCCATGCGAGATACCTAATCCTGGCAGCTCAGCGCGGCGAGGAGGAGGAGGAAGTCGGCGGGTAATTAATGAAACCACTTCGCTGGCCTTGATGGAGACGGAGCTTCCTCTGTGGAAGAGCCACACTGATCCCCTTTCATAGCAGCTGGAAAAATTCTACGGGCCCATCGGAAAGAGACCAACGCAGCGGCCCCGCCGGCAGAGACTGCGGAGACATTATTGTTTAGACTGGAGGCCATTAACCTCTT